AATAGGCCTAAGTACATTTGCTGTGTAATTTTATCTCATGCTTATTAATTTTTTAAACAAATAACTGATCATTATAACGTCTTGACATTTCCTGTGAAATTCTCTCACATTATACAAAGGGTATTCTAAAAATTATAAGTCTTCGGAATTTTGCTTTGCTTTCCGTGAAAAAAATTAAGTATGATAGGAAAGCGGGCAGCGCTTGCTGTGGTTAAGCTAATTCTTGGTAAACAAGTTAAAATAATCTCTGAATTTTTTCAAGGATAACATTTTATAACAAAAAATTGAAGCATTTAGAATGAAGTCCATTGACGTTCTTAATTTGAAGGTAGAAACAAAATTTATTTTGTGTTTAGTTCCTAAAATAATCAGAGATTTTTTTAAAAAAAAATCATTTAGAAACTATGTAATACTCTGTTACAGATTACACGAAAAGTTTCTTTTAGTTACGACCTTCCCTCGGAGAGGATTTTCATTCTGACGGTGAAACTTCCAAACCACGTATCTCGTTTGAGGTGTTTTTGAAATATATGCTCCAAAGTACTTGCTTTTGAGGAGAACAAATCAACATAATCCCTGAACTTTTTACAAAATTTTCTATGGACAGAGAATAATAACCATGGAAGTTTCCACTAATTGAAGTAGAATTGTTTTCCACTTAAAAACGAAGTATGACGGGAGGGCTGCACTGTCACAAACTGAGATACGTGCAGTTTTGGGAGTTTCACCAATGATACATAACTACCGGGAATAATATGCACTTATTGGAGCTACCTTCATGGATGTGAACTATAGCCTCATATTTTAATGTTCATAACTAACAGATTATCATGTAGATAAAAGTATTAATCAAAATTGGTAAAAATGTTAATCATATCGTGAATCCATATTATTTTCATTTTTTGTGATGGTGTGTTCAATAGAGATTTACTCGGTCGATCTGTATGTTTATTGTGGCTGTTGGTAGATAATTCCTTCCAGATGAGCACCCTTCCCCCCCCCCAGTTATTACCCCTGTTGACCCCGTTGGGCAAAGGAGGTGTGCGCAAAGTTACAAGGAGTTCAAAAATAGAAGAATAAATGAAAAGGCGCAGGCGCCTCAGATAGGCGCGGGGCGCAAAGATTCCTAGTGACGCCTAGTGCTAGGAGTAGGGGTGTGGGGCCACGTACCCCTGAGGAGGTACCCCTTACTAAGAAAGTGTATGGTCACTTTCTTTTAAGGGAGCTTCTTTTAGCCTTGTCTTGTAAAAAGCTCTGAGCTTCTATTTTAAGTTCTACGAGTATAATTATTAATATATCTGTACATACGAAAGTCATCTGATTTGTCGTTGTTTCAATATTGCATTTTTTTTTTGTTGAAAATCACAGATATACTTTAAAATCAGGAATGGAACCTCACAATCAGGAAATTTACAAGTCATCGTCTTTTTCGCGGTGACATAAACATAACAGAGATGTACCCATTACCTTCGCCCTGTTGACCTTTGTCTACGCTCGCAAATATCCTTATCGTGCTATTCCATTCCTGATTTTTAAAAATGTTCGTGATTTCAAATCATGTTAAAACAGTGATTACGGACAGCCTTATTCTCACTGAGAGACACCTCGTCTGCATCGTAATTCTGAACATTATTCTGCTTTTCTTTGATTAATATTCGCCTGCAGAAAAAAATCTCTCCCCGGGGTCATTCTGTATGTTAACAATTGGACGTATTTCTACGAGAACGGAGCTATGTGCATTAAGACATGAGCTCTGAGACCCATAAAAATACATGCATAACAGGACTCGCGTTGTAATGCACATAGTTCCGTTTGACAGAAATTCGTCCAATTTTCTATGAAGACTTTTGCAGTTCCGTCTGAATTTTTTAAGGTAAAGAAAAAATGTATTTTATGTACAGTAATTATTATGTCCCGTTCTATAGATTCTATTGAGAGTTTAAAATGAATCTGGAATATTTAGCTTTCTTATAAGCAAATGTTATGGTCATTTGTTTTGCATATATTTTTTTTTTATTATCATTATACGAACACGTTCATCTCTAAAAATTCATCATTCAGGCAAGTAAAGGTAGAGCAATTTGTGTTTAGATAATTATTTGTCGGGTAACATTGCACGGTTGCTTGTTTTGTTGCACTGATTCGCACTAAAATTTTTGATCGATGATATTACTTAAATACGCTTTACTATAATAGAGGATAATAATTTCGTCTTGATTCTTTTTCCACCTCTTCTTGTCTTTCTTGTTTTTCTTCACACGATCAACGAATCAATTTACATGAATACTTACAAGAGAGCGTTTGTTCATTTGCGCGAACTATCTTCCTATCAAATATTAGCATATTGCGGTACCATCATTTAATAATGGATAATCGTGATTTAAATGTTAGAACCCATCCGAATTGACCCTCAAGCACGTTTCTGCCCTTTTAAATAATGTAATACCACGATTTAAACTAACGCTTTCTCTTATTTTGTATAGTTTTCATGAAACCTATTAAGGAAAGATACCGAAAAGTGGAGGCATTTCTAATTTATGCGGCTTTTCAAGTGAAAAGCCTCTTAAATTAGCTATGACTGGATGCATAATTTCTCTGAAAGTGAATTTTTCATACTTAAAAGTGACTTTCCTGAAACCCTCGCCACAAATAGTGTTGAAATAATTCAGCTCTAGAATTTCCAGCTAGTTACGAAAAAAAATTCCCGAATTTCAATGAATCTATAATTTTTCCTCATCCACAGGATTTTTTTCTTTTTTTTACAGTGCCATTTCGTACACTTTTCCTCAAAAGGCCAATAATTCCGCAATTGCTGGGTTACACTTCTACTAATTTTTAACCATGGGCGGGATTTTAATAAAAACACTTGTTTCGTAACTATGATGTCTAAAAATAAAATGTTCATTTCAGTCCCACGATCGTATCGAAGAATTTTTGTGCCATTCAATTACTCTTATGATTGTTGCCAAGTTTTTTAAAAAGTATCATCCCTTCCCCCCTTTTTTTTAGTTCAAATAAACTCTGGAAAATCATTTTAAACCACGGGTCAAAATTGACCTCTTAAGGAGCCAAAGCTGAAAAGAGAGAGAGGACAAGAGGAGAAAAAAGATGGAATAGTTGTCGTTTGAACCAAAAGTTGAGTGCTCAAAATCGACCGAACCATTCAGTAACTTCACCGCTCGTTTTTCAACAAATCTAGCCGAAGAAAGACGTGTGGTAACAAGAACCAAAAAGCTGGCATCTCAAGGGTGAAATGTTTACTCATTTATTATTGGGGGTTTCTACTTTTTTTCGTTCGATCGAAGCATATTCGGTGTTCTTTTTTTCCCTGCGACTTCTTCAAAATGACTGAAAAAGTTAACCAAAATAGTCTGGCTGAAGCTACAGACAAGTCTTACCAATTAAAAAAATGATAAAGGATCCCATGATTAGAAAAATAACCAAAGAGGTCCGAAGGAAATATGAAAACCTCAAGAGTACTAAACATTTTTTTTAAAAAAAGAGACTTTCTTTTGACCGTAATGTAATTAAAAGGAGAGATATGGTAAAGGCATTGGGAAAATGTGTCGGGAAAAAAGAAAAAGAAGAAGATGAAAAATCGCACTGAAAAGGGAATTTTCAACTCTTGATACAACGAATAAAAAATCAACTCACACCACAGTTCAATTTAAATTAAGGTTTAAGGAAATTTTTACTTTGAACTTGAAAATTCGGTAATGAAACAGCATTGCGTTGGCTTATAAGTCGCCATTTTAATTGATGAACTTGCCTTATTTTCCTCTCTAGGAAACATGCACAAATCATTTGAATCAACTAAAATTTCAATGTCTTGGAGGTCACTCGCTCAGTATGCAATGAGACCAGAGCAAACGGATTGTTTAATGACGTCAAATAAGCATGCAGTTTAGTATATTTAAAATTTGCCTCGCCATATAGAAACACTTGAACGACCAGGCGATTATTTTCGTTAAGTTATTTTATTTTTTTCTCCTCCTACTTTTTGTTCCTTTCAAGTCGCACAAGATGATTAAAAATGACTGCAGGTGAAAACTAGATCTGCAAAAATGTATCTTCGGTCAAAGAAGCTGTAGTGGGTGAAATGTGTTATAAATTACCAAATAAATTAGATGATGACACATTCCTCATGCTGTTTGTTTTTTTTCCCCCCCAAAAGCAAACCAAAAGAAAAATTGCCGTTTTAACGAGAAATCTGATTTCATTTTCCAAAAGATGTTTATGATTTACCGTCAGCTGGAATCGTTTGTTTATAAGAAAATATTTTAACTCGGAAAAATTATTTTTTTTCATCGTGGAAAAGTGGATTTATGAGTCGCGCAGAAATTTTACTGCACCTCCCTCCACAATTTTTTTTCAATTTTATAAATTGAAAGAATATACGCACGAAAATAAATTTAATTAAGAAACGACCCAACCCTCAGGTTTCAAAACCTTCTATCAAAGGATCGGACAGTTTCATAATCTTGGATGCATGGCTTTTTCTGAGAGCTGTTTTACAAGCACCAAAAACTTTTTCCATTCATCGAACATTTTCGGCTGAATTAAATTCTGATTCTAATTTTCTAGATTCTTGCTTCCAGAGTTGGCCTCCTCGAGACAAACGATTCGATCTAATCGACTTGTTTTGTACTGGTACTCATTAGAGTTAAAAAAATTATTTTGACTCTAATCAGGGTGTCTAGTGTTTTTTAATTTTGAAAAATCCTGATTTTTCTCAATTCTTGGCGCGGTAGGCAATAAGCAGTAAGAATTTCTCCGCTGAGGAGATTCGCGTAAGAAAAATTCCTGACAAAACGTCCGATTTTTCCGATTTTCCTGATATTTTCCTGATCGGCCAAAATTCCTGATATTTTCCGGTTTTTCCTGATGCTAGACACCCTGTTAATTAAAATTTTGGAGCTTCTTGGCTTTGTTTTCCCCGCGAAATAGTGTGGACCCAGCACCATCCCTCCACCTTGTTAAATCAACGTATCGAGGCCTACCTTTGAGGTCTAGCTGATGGGTCAACTCGTGGTTCTCCTTGTTGGCTTGAATTTTCTCGATTAGGTGCTCCAATTTACTGCTGTTACCCTTGAACAGCATCCTAGAGCATCGCAGGCGGTATCCTTGGCATCGTAATCCGGCGGGCGAAATGAACGAAAATCCTCGGAATCGCGAGCACCAACGACAACAAGCACTCAACGCACGAACTGTCAAGTTGACACCGCACAAACAACTGATGTTCAAGTGATCGAACCCTCGAAAAGTACCGACCCGGAAAAACAACACAGTCACGTGACGCCAACAAAAAAGGGTCCAAACGAAAAACTACGAAAAAATGTCACGTGGGGTGGCGGGCAAAAAACGGCGACTCCGTCACGATTTTTCGCGCGGTTTCGGTTTCGGGGTTTCAAGGTTGGGATCGGGGATGGCGCGAGGTCGGGGGGCTGGGGTGCCGGGGCAGCGGACTTGGACGACTGAGGAGGACTGGGACCGGGCGAGCGCGAGCAGGCGAGGCCCCTGGGAGGTGGCCGCCCATTGGCTCCCGTGAAAGGCGGGGTCTCCCCACACGATCACCCCATGGGCAGCTCCAGCCGCGGCACCGCGGAATGAGGATGCTGGGCCGCCAGGCCGCTAGGATCACCGTTCTGATTCACCGGATCAGCCGCCGCGGCTCCGCACAGAGGGCGGCCTCCCACATTTCACGGACAGAATCTTGAAATTGTCGCCTTCCGGCCAAAATATCACAAGCGCCATGTAACCAGAATTTCTGCCGCCTCTTTATTTTTTCACAGAGAAATTTTTGGTTGAATCTGTTTTTGAAGGAATCAGGCTTCCAGACTCTTGCCTCCTATTTTAATAGACAGTTTGACAAGGATTCCAAAATGAAAAATGTCTTCATGTTCCGAGAACGAAAATACTGCAGAAAGTTTGATCTTTTTCAAATTTTTCATATTTTTCCAGGTATTTCACGAATTTTGACCCTGGCCTGCGTTATCAAGATTTCGTCACCTTCCGTCTAAAGTATCACAAGCGCCATGCGACGTTTGAAAATTTTCACCGCCACTTTATTTTTTTACAGAGAAATTGATGGTTGAATATGTTTTTGAAGGATTCGGGTTTCCAGACATTTCCCTCCTAATTTAATAGAAAATTTGACAAGAAATTTCAAAATGAACATTTCCTTCATGTTCCGAGAACGAAAATACAGAAAGTTTACTCTTCTTCAAATTTTTCATATTTTTCCAGGTATTTCACGAGGCACTCAATTTGACCCTGGCCTGCGTCATCGACATTTCATCACCTTTCGGCCAAAGTATCACAAGTCAAGTGCCATGCGACGTTTCTAAATTTCCGTCGCCATTTTATTTTTGAACAGAGAAATTGTTCGACGAAGCTGTCCGAAAATTTCACTAAATTTTCTTTGTGCTGCCGATAAAATTCAGTGAATTGTTCAAACAGATTCAACCAACAATTTCACCTTATAAAACCAAAAAAAAGAGAATAAAATCATTTCTTGGTTTAGTCTATCATACGTTTATTTTTAGTTTATAGCATGTAATTTACTTTAAGCATAGCCAATAGATACCTTAGATATATTCAGTAGTTGTGGCAAATTGTGTATCTATTATGATTTTAAAAATAAATAAAATAGCGGCGAAAATTTTTAAACGTCGCACGGCGCTCGTGATACTTTGGCTGGAAGGTGGAAGGTGGCTTGGAAGAAATCTTGTCTTTGAAGAATCTTACATTTTTTACGTCCAACAAAGCTATAGAACCTAGCTTAGTCTATTAGCAGATATCTACCTGAGACTCGCCTTCAATTTGGCCGTATAGGCAACAACCGTACAGGAGTGCGCGAATAGTTATCTTCGTATTCAAAATCACATAAGTTCATCGCTTCAGAAGGTGTGATTGAACCGACGAAAGACATTTGAACCCATAGGTAGATACTGTCCATCTGAAGTTCGCCTTCAATTTCGTGCAGGATGAACATGGTCGACGGTGTAAGTACGCAACTTCCACGTGATTTTTTAGGGTGTGTTTGAAAATCTCGACTCCTATTTTATTTATTTAAAGGACAGCAGATCGACATCATTCCTTAAAGTTTTTACGGAATTTTTCTCGCGCAGAGAAGACAAATCACGGCAGTTTTATAACTAACAGCTGCTGTATACTACTCAGATTCATAACTGAGCAGTTATAGTTTCAATGTTTCTAAAACATTGAAACTATAATTATGTTGACATAATTATAAACCTTAAGGTTTATCAAATGCAGTCATAAGAATATAAGACTGGAAGGAGAACTGTTTCTGCTTCTGCTAACTGAAAACTCTAGAATTTGTGAATTTTTCTTGAATCCTCTATATTTTTTTTTGTAAATAAACGGGCATAGAATCTTCAAATACCATGCATAAGACTCTAAATTTTTAAAACAAATTGTGGTCCTTTCTCGTTCCTTCAAATCCCTCCGCAAGAGGCGCCTATGGATCAATCTCGCGCCAGGTAATCAAAAATTTCATAAATTCGGAATTGTTTTGGAGTTGTCGCGTTGTCTTAACCCAAACGATGAAAGTCCCATAAACAAGACGTAATTATTTAGACTTCTTACACATATATCAATTTATACCAAGCAAAGAATCTCCGTTTTTTATATGCATTACACTTTTCTCCCTGTGTACCTATTTTCAGTTTTCGATCATTACGGAGCGGATTTCACTCCGGATCATGTTGTCATCAAATCACGTTTGACAGTCACACACACTCATCGATATGAGGTTAGATTCTGGAGTGTATTTCGCTATGAATTTTGATCCCATTCTTAAACTACGTATGACATTAAATAAGTCTTCCCATGAATTTTTAAAAAGCAAACAAATTATAGTTACGTCTCATGTACACATACACGTCAAGACACATTCCCTCTTCGTTAAAACCAGTTAAAGAATTCTTGTTTTCTCTTCCATTTTACTCACCAAAATTAGGGACTTGAATGGAAAATTACAATTAAAATTTTCAAAAGGGGGCTCAACTCACTGTCAACTGCGTAAAACTGGAAAAAAACCAGAATTCGAATCAATCCCAGATAATTATCTCGTAAAGTCTCTATTGAAAACTCTAAAATAACTGGATAGCTACTGTGTACATGAAGGCAAAATATCGCATTCAATGACTCAAATCAAAAAGCAAAGGCATCATGGCTTAAATTCAGGGGTTTCAAAAAAGATTTTTCGTAAATGACCAGTAAGGGTTTTACGCTGGTTTTTGTCAGTCAGCCGTACTCCACGGTAAACACTACAAAACAATTGAACATTGGCAATAATAGAACTTATTTTCGAATGACAGTGCATGTGAAAAAAATTGACAGTACTTGCGTGCTTGAGTTTTTCATTCAACTAATAGTAAATTATTTTCCACCCAACCTGAAACAGAAGAAAACAAAATATCAATTAAATAATTATACCTATTCTTGAAAATTAAACTCGCCGCCATAAGAGAAACTTTTTCCACGACACTTTACTTTTGTAGAAGAAGATTTTTGTTCAAGATTTCCATGAAGTTCGTGATGTGACATAATCTTATAAAACATCGTACATTTTTTTAAATTAATTCAAATTTGACTTTAACAATTTCTTTTAAAGACTTTTACCGCTCTGAAAATGTGTTAAACATATCAAAAATGAGTTTAAAGCATTTTAAAAACTCATCACTGTCCCTTTAACTTATTTCCTTAATATTTATGTGTTAACATGTTGTTTTTTTTTTGTTTTATCCTCGTTTTAAAGGAACATCCTCAGAGCATTTTATTGTTCTCACAGATATTTGAAGGACACATGAGCGTTACCATGCTATTAAAAATACATGTTTTTCCCCTTTTTATTCATCTTCTACTTGGCTTGCATTTTGCAAAAAGGAACCACTAGCATTGCAATGATGCTAAGATTGTGCAACTTCATCTTTTGCAATAAAATTGCGGAAATCGTGAAAAACTATGAAATTTAGGTGGTAATTTTTGTCTCATATTTACAGTTTCTAGCGAGTGAAATAGAAACTAGTAATGGATCATCGGGTTTTTCCTCCAAGACAAAAGAAGTTGCACAATCTTAGCAACATTTCAATGCTAAAGGTTCCTTTTTGCAAAATGCAATCCACTTTTATCTACAATGCCCAATCGACGATCTGAGAAAGCTGAGTCTATGCAAGGGTTAAGTTGACGAGTTCAAAGCTTTGACTTGCAACTTCCAACCTCCTGTGCGACCCCCGTGACCGACCCCCTGCTTGCGGACGCGGCGCTGCTGCTGCCGGCTCCCGTAACCCCCCTGCCCCCCTCCCCCTTCGATATGACACTAACGAGTAATCCGCGGCCTTGCGTCAAAGCGAGCTGCGTCCTCTCTCGTTGTCAAAAATAGGAGATGGGCTCGTAGCGCGGGGTCCGCATTTTTTGTCCACGTGAAAAATGAACGCACGACCAAGTGTGACTCCGATCCAAAATAAAAATAAGAAAAAAAAGAAGAAGAGGAAGAGAGCTGGACACGTGGCGGAGGAGAGCGTACGCGAGAAAATAAAAATATCGGGTGGAGAAGCTCTGAAAAATGCACCCACTGCGATCAGTATCGTCTAATTTTAGAAGGTTTCCTTTGGGGGTTTGAAGGATGTTCAAATAGGTCTGGAAGATGAAAGTTTTAGATTAGAGGGAAATTCTTTTGATTGGATGCATTTTGTTTTCTTTTTTGGTGCATTATTAAGGAATACTTCTTGAAATATGGGGAAAATTGTCCCTTTTCCCCCTAAGTCATCGTAGATCATCTGAGAATACGTGCGAGTATTCGTCACCCTTATACGAGGAGGAGAGTCCAAATTAGAAGACATTTTTGTAGAATTTCTTATTTTTCCTCTATTTTTTGTTATTTGATTTATTTACTGTCAGCTTAATAAATTGCAGATACATATGGTACACTTGTACTTTATATATAATAAAATTCTCAAGCAAAATGAGTTATTTTTCCTCTGAAGAAGGAGAATTACGTTTCATCGATGGCCGTGCCTTAAAAAGCAGTTAAGTTCAACTCGTCAATCCAATTCAATATCATAGTTCAAAAACCAAGCGGACTGAGTCCTGTAGAAACTTAACTTGAAACTTATCAATAAATTTAGCTAAACAATATCGATGGCCAACGTGCAAAACCGCGATTTTTCATTGCGGTGTTTCAAAATTTCAGCAACAACTTCATTTTTTCAAAGAGCAACGAGCAACTCTTTGGCTTGAAATCGGTACAGAATGTTTGCTAACAGAAAAGTTAAATTTAGAAAAATTCTAAGAAATTACGTTGACTAGTTATCCGAGGAAAATACATAGTATAACAAGAAGTCTGCAACATCACACTTTCGCCATGGATATCTGGATCGCAATTCTCAAAAAGGAATCAGCGCGATTACAGAGCTTTCGAAATTGTGCAACCTCTTTACTTTTAAAAATACTAAACGTAGGTATAGTATTGAGATTTACACAATTGTTTTCTTTTATAATTA